TGAGCAAGTACTAGGAGTGAAATTTCTCCAAGAACCACATGATGGCAGCAGAACCAAATAAGAAATTAAGAACACACACAGACCCCCTTCACATCACTGGCCCTGCGTCTTGTTTGCACAAGTGCCCTTTCTACACCCATATTTTCCCTCTGTTTCTGAGCGCACCCTATTCTTCTGTTCTGCATTCCCTCCCACTTTCACTTCCAGTTTGTGTCCAGGCTTTTTCTTGTTTCTGTTTTTGTTTTACAGGAATCTGCATTCAGACCGCCCCCAGCACGCTGTTGCCCTGCAGCTACCAAAACTCCTATTGCTGTGATTCTTTGTTCTTATCCACTTTTATATTACTAATCCTTTCTAAAAAAAGAATTGTTTCTGCAGTTATTTAAGTGCTGCCTACTGCCCTCCCCCGTTTCCGCCTCGCTTTAGGTGGACACTCCCTCTCCGTTCTGTTTTCTTTCCCTCTTTCTCCAAAGACAATAAAGTTTGCTCAGGCAAACTTTAAAAAAGCAAGAGAGAGCATAAGAAGGAATCAGTAAATATAAAGAACTAGGATTCTCTGCTCCTGGATGTGTCAGGCTTGCATGTGTGGCCCTGGATCTTTGTATGGAAATATTATTTGGTATTGTGGTGTGTCCCCCTTAAGGCTCTGAAGCGAAATACCATCCGGGCCTTGTAGGGAGGATATAAGAAAACTTGGCAATTGTTCAAGCAGCTGCTGCAGCCAATTCATGCACCCTGATGGACCAGGTCGGCAGTGGAACTGAGACAACATTGCAGGAGCAAAAAGCAAGTTTTCTTCCGCTGACGCTGCTAACTGATAAAGGACTTTTCCTTCTTTTTATCTCCTGTTTGAAGCCTTGCCAACCTCCTGCTGAGGATAACTCCAGCTTGCCTGCATTCTGCTCAGGACAGTCTCAGTTCTAGCGGCTTGAGAACTACTGCTTCTGCCACTCAGTACATTGCCTCAGTGTTTTAACTCTTTTTGAATATTATTATCTCTTCTGTTGTGTTTTGCTGTAGAGCTGAGGCTCGCCAAGGTGCAGGGAGATACGGATGTGTTTTTTATCTCTGCTCCTTCTAAATAAAGACATGTTGACTTTTGGAGAAAACAAGTGTGTGGGTCGGTGCAGTCAGTGAGAGTTTCCTTGCATCCCGGGAGGGGAACCCAGGGACAGGAGATCTACTCGAGAGGAGAGGATTTTGCTACTGTCTGGAGGTCTCAACCAGCCAGCTCTCGAGGTGAAACGACCGGGGAGGCTGACCCCAGACATACAATCTTCCACTCCCTTCCCTTCCTTTTTGCAGAATCAAGGAGGGAAGGAGGGAGGGGTTAGGTCTGCAGTTAAAAGTTTTGAAAGATGTTTGCCTTTCTCTTTATCTTAGATTTTTAAAAAACTTTGGACATTACCACACAACGTCACATGACATCTCCATATTAATTAGGCAAAAAAAAATATGGGTTTTGCTTGTAGATGCAGAATGCATACAGAATACACAAATAAATAAACCGGAGGGGGAAAGCCAGTGCAGAGGGAATGCATGCGACTGCGAAGTCAACCCTTAAGGCTCGACTCCTCGGATTCTCCGGAGCAAGCTGTCAGTGCAGAAAGGGCCTATATCAGATCTGCTGGTCACAGACTAAGAACATAAGAGAAGCCGATGTTGGATCAGGCCAATGGCCCATCCAGTCCAACACTCTGTGTCACACAGTGGCCAAAAATACCAGGTGATATCAGGAGTGGGACCAGGACACTAGGAGCCTTCCCACTATTGACCCACCCCCAAGCACCAAGATGACAGAGCATCACTTGCCCCGGAGTCCCTATCTATACCTTGTGGCTAATAGCCACCGATGGACCTCTGCTCCATATGCCTATCTAATTCCCTTTTGAAGCCGTCCATGCTTGTAGCTGCCACCACTTCCTGTGGCAGTGGATTCCAAGTGTTAATAACTCTTTGGGTGAAGAAGTACTTCCTTTTATCTGTTCTAACCTGACTGCTCAGCAATTTCATTGAGTGCCCATGAGTTCTTGTATTGTAAGGAAGGGAGAAAAGTACCTCTTTCTATACCTGCTCTATCCCATGCATAATCTTATAAACCTCAATCATGTCACCCCTCAGTCGTTGTTTCTCCAAGCTAAGGAGCCAAGCGTTTTAATCTTTCTTCATAGGGAAAGTGTTCCAACCCTTTTTATCATTCTAGTTGCCTTTTTCTGCTCTTTTTCCAAAGCTCTAATATCCTTTTTAAGGTGTGGTGCCCAGAACTGCACACAGTATTCCAAATGAGGTCGCACCATTGATTTATATAGGGGCATTATGATATTGGCTGATTTGTTTTCAGTTCCTTTCCTAATAATCCCCAGCATAGCATTAGGCTTTTTTTATTGCAGTCACACACTGTCTCGACATTTTCAGTGAGTTATCTACTACAACTCCAAGATCTCTCTCTTGGTCAGTCTCTGCCAGTTCGGATCCCCATCAACGTGTATTTATAGTTAGGATTTTTGGCTAGTGCTTGCTTGGGCTGCAGCTCTCCATTTAACAGGAATTTTAGCATTTACTTCATTCACAAATGTAGCATCAAAACATCAGTGCCCATAATCAGTGCCACAATCCTGTTGCTAATTTGGTACCACACATGCAGGAACTGAGGAGAACCCACAACTCACATGTGGGTGTGTGACGTAGGGTCCAATCTGTTTGCTCTGTACTATGTGAAGAGGCATATTTACAACTATAGTCTCAGCTATTGTTGAGTCTGACCAGCTCTGAGGAGTAACACTGGGTGGGGAAAGCACTATTCAGCCAGACAGGCTTGATATTAATTTGATTTAATTACAGCCAGTGGTGAAAACATGGTTCTTTCTGATATGTTAACACCTCTTAACTGGGGATGCTGGGCCTGGTGGGCTCTGGGCTCCAGAACCGAAGGCCCAGACTGGCAAAGGCCTTTTTTGACACACACACGTGGAAAGAGACCAGAAAAGGAGCTGTCCCTTCTGTTGAGTGTGTGAGAGAGCGACCGTGTGGAACTGTGTGTGTATGGTTGCATGTGAAGCTAAGCAGAAGGTCCAGCATCCACTCTGCTAGTCATACCCCCATTTGCACACTCCTGACAAGGAAGGGAGGGCAGATGTTTGATAAGACTCAAATAGCTTATCAGCCTTTCTGTTTCTTTTCCTTACTTAGTCTGCATTCTAATCCCGGAACTGTATTTACTCCAGAGTTGTGTATCGTAGTAGTAAAGTTGGTTTCGTTAAGATATGTTGCCTTGATTCCTACCCACAGGCATAGCTGCTCACTTACGCTACACAAACATGCCCCTCAGTTGCTGTACTTCTTGGCAGCAACAAAGGGAAGGGGTGTCAGAGACAAGGAAAAGGTGGTGGCACACTACCCAAAGGAAGGCTCTAAATCCTGCTTAACAGGGCTTGGGGAGCAAAGGAACAACTTCTGTCCCAGAATCTGAGCTGGGCTGTATTTTACTCATTCACTTGAGGGCCATTTGCGGGGGGGGGGGGGAGAGTATCCCCCTGGAGAGCTGAGCAGAACCATCACAATATAATTTTTAGTGACTTTGCAAAGCACTTTGAGGATCCAAGCCTGGGCTAATTACCTCCACCAGCCCCCGTCAGATAAACAGTACATCCGGCCAGTACCTGGATGGCTTCATCTGAAGTCCGCAATTATAAGCTGAATCATTGCCCTTCAGCTTCCAGCGGTCTGAGGTACAGAAAAGCTCTGAGCTCCAGGTTGCATTCCTTAACTATCTCGGTGAATTTAATGAGGTGTTGATGACACTTTTTCTCCCTTAACCTCTTATTTAATCTAGTCAGGCCACTGGATTTAACCACACCCCATGGCAATGAGTTACAGAAGGGGGGGGGGCTTGTGTGGTTTGGTTCCTCGGTCTGGAAGAATCTCGTCAGGCTACAGCAATTAAGGTTTCCTTGCTAGCTGTAAACAGAGTAGGTTGGGTGGCCACTCAGGTGAGGCACAATCTTTGAAGTTCTACTGTGGCTCTTGAGGAAAACGTACAGGCAAGGTTGTGCTCTTGATTCAGCCAAGACCTGCTCTCTTTGATCAAATAACTGATCTGCGGCAAACCGTGGTTCTTTCAAAAGAGACTGAAGAACTCAAAGAGCTGATCAAACACAGGTATGCCACGGAGTGCTGTGTGTGTTGGAGAGCAGAGGCCTCAAGAGAGTGTAGATGTGATGGAGACTGGAAGCCTAAATTGTGGCTTTCATTGCTACAGGAAGCAGGTTTCTGGTGTTTATGATCACAGAGAAAGAAACTGGACGTGTGGATAGATTCCATCAAACAAAGAATTGTGAGAGGGGACTGGAGCTCTCCACACACAGCACAGCTCCATGGTCTTCACCCCTTTTCTTGTATGCATACTATAAAATGGAGGGGAGGAGACTAAGCGGCTTTGAGTCCCCATTGGGAAGAAAGCCGTGGTACAAATGAAGTGGACAAATCAATTAAAAATTCAGATTCGTAACAACAAGAAGTATAAATGGAAAACAAACGCAGACAAAATAAACTGAGGGAGATATTCCTAATTTGTTCCTGAGGGTAGCCATGTTGGTCCGCAGTAGAACAGCCAGATTTGAGTCTAGTAGCACCCTTAGAGACAAATGAGATTTGGGGGGGTATCAGTTTTTGAGACTCAAAGCTCCCTTCGTCTTCTGGGAGCTTTGACTCTTGAAAGTTTATACCCCTGAAATCTCATTGGTCTCTAAAGTACTACTGGATTTGAATCTAATTATTCCTAATTTGTGTTATTTATTCCTATCCCAGAATGAGATTGGGACGGTACTTCAAAATCCTGGACTCGATAGATGTGATTCCCTTCTTTTTCTTAGACTTCCTTCCCCTCTTTCTGCACCCCTCACCCAAAAACAGGGATGTTGGCACTGGAAAGTCCAGTCAGCTGTGCAGGAGTTGGTGATCCCATTCCCAAATAAGTCAGAAAGAAAGAAATTCAATGAGCCTACAGTACAAGGATTTTAATACAAACATGTGGGTCAACAGCAATACAAAGGGTCCACTCCAATGACCTGAAGGCACCAAGGTGAAGCTGGTGATAGACATGTGGGCAATGGAGGGAGGTGGCAGAAGATTTTAACAAATACAGCATCAAAAAAACGCAGACACGAGCTTCATGGGGGAGGTGAACAGACATATAAAAGACAATTATTAGATTTTCATCCCACAGTTCCCCCAAGGAACCCAGGGCGGCACGAATGGTTCTCCCCTCCTGTGGTTTGTCCTCACAACAACTCTGTGCGGTAGGTTAGGATCTGAACCCAGCCCCCATCCACTCCTCCTCCACAACAACCAGGCTTACAGTACATACATTTTTCAAACAACCGTATTTGGGTGGCAAAATGCAAACAAGCAGAAGATAGACCCAGGTGGGTAGGTGAAGTGGAAGGAAAACCTGGGTCCAAGCAGTTCATACAACCATCCTGAAATCAATGGAATGACCTGCCAACAGGATCAGCTGTATTCTCAGTTAAAACTGGATGATCTAAGTGAACAAGTGATGAATGACAGTTCCTGAATGAATGACTAGTATGGAAGCTACTCAGGATGAGGCAAAAGCTTTGTAGGGATGGTGTTTGAGCTGGGTGAGCAGGGAAGGAATTTTAAAAGGGTTTGTAGCTGAAGGTGGGTATACTCAGTGGGTTTCTAGGGCTGCCAACTCCAGGTTGGGGAATTCCTGGAGATTTGTTGGTGGTGCCTTGGGGAGGGTGAAGTTTGGGGAGGGGAGGGTCTTCAGCAGGGTATGATGCCATACGATCCAGCATTCAAAGCAGTAATCAGGAAATCGGTTGTAATTCTGGGAGATATCCAGGCCCCACCTGGCGGTCGGCAGACCATAACCACAGTACAAATCCTGGAAGGACATAGCTAGCAATAACAACACGAAACTGTATGAATTGCCATGGATCCTGGGAACCACAGTTTTGCGGAGGGTATTATTAATTTTGATTCGCTATTTCTAGTACCTTTGCCTAAACTACTATTCGCAGAATCCTTTGGTTAGGAATTGTAACCGCTCGACATGTCTGAATCTAATGGAAGTTTTTAGTTTTTATATAAAATGTAAGGCGTAGGCACAAGTTCACAAGTTTTAAGAAAATACTACCGTAAGTAGTGCATCATGCCCCTCCCAGAGGAATTTAGTTACCACTCGCATTTATCTCTGCCCGGTATTCCCTCCCTGGAGAATGGAGGCAGAATCCAGATGTTCTCTCCAGTTCCCCCTGAATGCCTGGGGTCTAGACCGACCTGCCTCTGTCTTAACATTCTGGAGTGCAAGGATCACTAGTGTCTATTTTAGTTTGCCCACCATCAGGCTGCCCACCATAGGGTACGGGGCCATAACTGCCATCGTATCTGCCCCTCGGCCCTGATAACCCAGAAGGGCCACCATAGCTGGGTGGGTACTGATCCGCTGGGTTATAGGAACCTGCTCCACCACCAAAAGGAGCGCCGCCATAGTTAGGGTTGTCCTTCGATACTGGGATGCGGCCACCACCCCACTCCTTAGGAGACGGTATGTAGGGGATACCAGGGGGCTTCATCTCCACCCGTGGCCGATAAACACCGTCCCCGTATCGCCCACTGTACTGGCTGGGTCCGTCTGGCCTGCCGTAATTCGCAGGACCCCCGTACTGTCCAGGACCACGACCCCCATACTGTCCAGGACCACTTGGTCTGCCATATTGGCCAGAGACACCCCCAAAGGCAGGCTTCCCCGGCGTACCAAATGGCCAGGGTTTGTCTGGCTTGCCAAATGGGGATGGGTTTCCAGGAGGATATGCACCGGGAGGATATGCAGGAGACCCGCCTCCGTATCCCCCTGAAGTCGCAGGACTTCCACCCACGACACGGCTCTCTCCCCCATCTTTGGTGTCCATTTGTTGCCCAGGTGGCGAGACATCAGGCTGAAGGAGCCCCTTGGGCAAAGAGCAGCGTTGCACACCTGGCGGCAGAGGCTGTAGGTCTTGCCCAAGTGCCATGTCAATACATCTGGAGGCCACACCTATAAGAGAAACAGAAACCAGTTTCAAGAAACCACAAAGTAGAGTTTCATTCTGGGCCAGGGCCTGGCCATTACATCCCTGCAACCTGTCCTGTTACTTTTGCCCAGCTGGCCAGGTGAAGGGGGTGGAGAGGAAGAGGCTCTGGCGTGGAGCTGGCACACAGGGCAGTGGAGGAGAAAGGAGAGCAGAACGAAACCCCAATTCCTGTACTCTGCGTACTGATCTAGCCCTGAGTCGGCACGCCTGTGTTTTTACTGTGTGGTTCATTAAGAGAAGAAGCCAAAGTTCAGTGAACAGATCGGTTGTGTTCTGTGCCTAAGATCCCAGCTTCAGTTCCTGGCAGTATGGATAAAAGGAGGCGGATCTATACATTCAGAAAACAAGTGTAGTGTGTGACTCTTGTAGGTAGAGAAAAGTGCTGTCAAGACACAACTGACTTATGACAACCCCAGGCGGTTTTCAAGGCAAGAGACAAACAGAGGTGTTTTTTTATTGCCTATTTCTGCATAGCAAGCCTGGACTTCCTTGGTGATCTCCCATCCAAGTACTAACCAGGGCCAACCCTGTGTAGCAGCCAAGATCTAGTGAGACTGGGCCACCCAGGTTTTTTTTCTAAATTCTCTCTCTCTCTCTCTCTCTCTCTCTCTCACACACACACACACACACACACACACACACACACACAGGTCATTTTGTAGAAAAAGAGGTGCAGGAACTCATTAGCATAACATATTAGCATAACTTATTTGCATGTGTCACATCCCCTGACATCACCAGAAGTGTGTCAGAAGGCAACACCCACCGCTCAGGCTCCACTGGACTGTTTTGGATTGCTAGCTATGGGGGGGGGGACATGCAGATCTGTCCTTGCAGAGGAGGGAGAGCTTGTACCTGAATAAAACTTGGTCTTAAAGGTGCCACTGGGCTGTTTTGGACCGGGGGGCTTGGGGGGAGGCTTACCTGGCTGCTTCTTGCTCTGACTGAGGGCTGCTGGGAGCAGGGGGTGGGGCTTGTTGCATGTGCCCGCCCCCTGGGCTCTTTACTGCCGGAGCTCCGCTCCTGTGCGCTCCTGCAGGAAATGACCCCTGCACACACACCACCTCCCTGCTTGTAGACAACTAGTATGTTTCAGAGGCTTGCATTTAAACTTGTAAGTCCCCATCTTCTGGGCCAAACTAGCCATGATGTGTCTTTTGTCATTTTTTTCAAAGCAGCCATGTGGGGCTGCTAAGCAAACAACGTCAGGGTAAGAAGAGGAGACTGGATTTATATCCCACCCTTCACTTGGAGTCTCAGAGCAGCTTACAATCTCCTTTCCCTTCCCCTCCTGACAACAGACACCCTGTGAGGTAGGTGGGCTGAGAGAGCTCTTTCTTTTGAGGACTGCCCTTGAGAGAACAGCTCTGGGAGAACTTGTGACTGACCCAAAGTCACCCAGCTGACTGCATGTGGAGAAGTGAGGAATCAGACCCAGTTTTCCAGATAAGAGTCCACACTCCTAACCACTATACCAAACTGGGTCTGTATAGCCCTTTGTATAGTCGATGTATAGCCCTCATAGCATCATTTCTCCAATCTAGTTCCTCCTAGTTACTCTTAGCCCTGGGGGGGGGGGGAATGTAGGTACCAAAAGTGACCATCAGGTACATCAGAAAAAGGAGTTTGCTTCTTATTAAGAGCCTGTAATATTCTAAATGTATGAAGGGAAGATAATTGGGAGTGCTTCCTTAAGGAAGGCAGCAATCCTACAAACATTATCTTGGGGGTAAGCCCCATTGAATGAAATGGAGCTTACTTCTGAGTAGGCCTAATTAGCTTTGCTCTCAACACAGATCTACCTTGCACTCTTCACTGCTTTTTTATTCGCAGCCTGCAGGCAGGAGGTGCAGGTTCTGCCAATTCAATTAAGCAGATGGGGGGGGGGGAAGCTGCCTTAGCCTCTCTCTTAGATCCAGCTGAGAGGGTTCCCCAGTCGGCTATGCTTCCATCCATTTGTAGCCTCATTAAAATACTTCCTCCCTTACACCCGAGTGGAGGTGAAAGGGCCATCCAGGAAGCTCCAGGCCCACAGACTTTAGGAATGCTGTCCAACGCATTAATTGCTCAGGAAGATTCTTTCTGTTGTTAAGTCATGATAGTTAAATCAGTTTCCATTTGTGTCATTAGAGGAGTGCTTAGCAATGAGCAAGGGAGGAAGCATGAGGACTAAGGCCTCAGCAGGCGGAATAGCAGAAAAGCTATGGGTGGTGGCACATGAAAAGCAGTGGGGAAAATGGACTGCATTCACATCAACTGAAGCATCGCCTGAAGGATTTACTCAGGAGGAGAGGTAACTTACCACTTGTCATACACCCTCTGCAGAAAGAGAGAACTCCCGCTTTCTACATTATAAGGAAAAATATTCAATGACGGAGTGTTAGGGATATTCCAGGATTCTCTGCTGCTTTCTAGACCAGACGTGGCCTTTCTCTCTAGGGTGGTTAGAGGAACACTAGGAATGCGTTAGAACAGGTCGTACCATCATGACAATGACCCAAAGAAATGGCTCAGGAGGAGGGATATGTACTCCCATTTGGAAAGGAGTCCATATTCCTGGTCCCTTCTCGCTTTAACTCCTCTTTCATTAAGAATATCGCAGAAGTTGAAAGGGGATCAATGCAACAACCCAAGTGAAAGACAGTCATGAAGGAGGTTGAAGAGTGGCGAGATGGTGGACCTAGGTAGGGCTGGCACCAAGCTGGCATTTAACAGCCAGCCAGTGTGGTGCAGCGGTCGGAGTGTGAGACTAGGCTTACAATTTCTACTCTGGCCTTAAAAGTTCACTGAGTCAGCTTCTGCCAGCTGCACTCCCTGACTCTCGCTCTCTCAGCCCAACCTACATCACAGGCTTGTTGTGAATATAAAATGGGGAAGAGAGAACAATGTACATTGTTTTGAGCTTCTTGGAGGAGGAAGGGCACGCTAAAAAAATGCATTAGATAGGTTTTAACTCCTTGACTGGTTATGAGAACCGAAGAATGCAAAAGCAGGATAGATTCTAAGGTGTGATGACTGGCTGAGCTACCACAGTGCATACATGGACACAAGGGCATCTCTTGGTGGCAAGGATGCATTTGTAGCACAGCACACACAGTGATGCCCCATTGAGCTTTTTGCCATGGATGGATGCAAACTGGCGTACACTCAGGGCTTTTTTTGTAGAAAAAGCCCAGCAGGAACTCATTAGCATAATAGGCCACACCCAACAGCAGAAACTCATTAGCATATCCAGCCACACCCATGAGAGCACCACTCATTAGCATCTTAGGCCACACCCCTATGTTACCAGAAGTGTGCTCATCCAGCCACACCCACCTTTTGCTTCTTATTCTGTTTACCTTGTTTGTTGTCAAAACCCAGGGCCTTTTTTGTAGTAGGAACTCCTTTGCATGTTAGGCCACACCTCTAATGTAGCCAATCCTAATGAGTTTCTGCTATTGGGTGTGGCCTATTATGCTAATGAGTTCCTGCTGGGCGTGGCCAACTTGGGAGCCAGCCGGAACTCCGTTCCTGTGCGTTCCTGCCCCAAAATAGCCCTGCGTACACTGTTCCACCACATAGAGCTCAACGTATGAGTGAGAGGATTGTGGAGGTGGCTAGTGCTGTTTTTCAGACACTCTATTGGTGAGCCTAACTCACATGCATTGGTCTCCCGGATACCAACAGCTCACTCTGCCCATGCAGGCTAGAGGGCCAACCCAGTCATATGTAGGTGAACTAGGTGATGGTGTAGGGTGCTAGGCTTTAAGGCAGGGGTGTCGAACTCATTTGTTATGAGGGCCAGATCGGACATAAATGAGACCTTGTTGGGCCGAGCCATGTGGGTCATAAAATGTAATGCCAGGTGATATCAACTTTATAAAGCTCACAAACACTAAGGGTTTTTTTAACTTAAAATAAAAACATGCTCAAAGCATTAGCACTCTTGCAATATTTTGTTTATTTAACAGTGTCTGATAACTGACACCTCTTGCTCTGAATTATTGCATCAAAATGTCTGTGCTTTTGCAATCCTGAGTATGCTGTTCAGATGTGTATCTGTAAGCTGCAAACCTACGATGATGCAGCAGCACTGGAAGAAGAAGCAGAAGACAGCCAGTTCCACTGCGGGCCTGATGTAAGCCCTCTGGGGGCCTGATCAACACCCCTGCCAAAGAGTCCACCCTCCAAAGCAGCCATTTTTCTCCGGGGGAGCTGATCTCTGTCAGCTGTAGGTCAGTTGTAAAAGTGGGAGATCCCCAGGCCCCACCTGGAGGCTGGCAACCCTAGATTCAGATAACCCCCCCCCCACACACACACCACTCTTTCTATATGAAATCATTGAGGAAATTCTCTTTCACTGTATCTGAAGAAGTGTGCTTGCACACAAAAGCTTGTACCTTGAATAAAAATTTGTTGGTCTTAGATGTGCATCTAGACTCAGACTTTGTTCTAAGATTTTCTAAGTTCACCAAAGTCAACTGGCTGAGAAGAGTGCGGCTTTGCTTCTGGTGGCACTGCTAAGCAAAGATCTCCCAAGTGAATCGAATTAGTTTGGCTCTGAGTGTAAACTGCTGCAACCCTCACTGCAGAACACGTTCTTGCAAGAGGCTGGCCAGGCAGAAAGCTGGGAGTCTGAGACTTTTCTGCCTAGAAAAGCAGCCATGGGGATATGATAGAGATTTATAAAATCATGCATGGGAAGGAGAAAGTGGGCAGCAGGCATTTTTCTCCTGCTCCCAGAGCCCTAGCACCCAATGACACCCCCAACGAAACTATTGGGAAGTGGGTTCAAAACACTTCTTTATGTGATGAGTAGTTAAGCTATGGAATTCCCAGTCAATGGAGGTAGTGATGGCCACAAACATGGTGGTAGAAAGTGCTATCAAATCACAGCTGACATTTATTTATTATTTATTTATTACCTTCGGCTTCTACCCCGCTCGAACCCCCTAGGGGGTCTCTGAGCGGCTTACAGTTA